GCAAGGCACGAGTTACCGTCACCAGCCACGAGTGTGAGTCTATCATACTATGCAAACTTACCAAATGATCGTCCAACAAAAAAAAGTGTTTTTATGCCTCAAATATAGAAACAGAAATTTGATTAAATTAAAATTATATTTTAAAAAGTAAACTTTGAATTATTTAAACAAAAACATTTTCAAAGAATTTTTCAACTGCAACAAATTATGTTAAAGGATCCCATACCAATACAATGGGATTGTGGTTCCCAACGAAATTTTCAAAAATTTTAATATGATATAGTTTAATGGAATAATAAAAAAAAACTCGTTAAGAAGGAATTTTATTTGAGAGTAGAAACTTACACCGGATAGGGTTACGATAGTTGTACTCAGACGGTATCTTAATTCGTTTTCTGAGAGATTTCTGGTGTGTAGCAACATTTTTTTCGGTGTGTGGAAAAACCTTTGCCACACACTGTGCGGAAAATAAAATTTTTGGCAATAGCGTGTGGAAAATAGGTGTTTTCCGCACACTATAGCCAACAATTTTAAGAGCTTCAATTATTACGATGATGATTTTGTACAACGTCAAAAATGGATTTTTGTATACTCATGACAAATAACATTTTTTTTTTATCAAACTAAATTTTTTCTACTGATTTCTGTTCATTTTTTCTCGTAAGTTTGGCGTGATCGCCACAAGATTGGACGAGGTTAAAAAATTCAGACGTAATTTTTTTTGTAAAAAATATTTATTAAATTAACCGTAAACTATTTAAAAATAAAGTCTTAAGCAGGCAAGTGGGCGCCCTGGGGCTGGAAGCCATTTTCGTCGGCAATGTAGGTAACGGTGTAGGTGTTGCCGTCAGTGCCAACGTAACTGTAAGATCCGCGGACACGGAGGATGGCATCCTCGGGTTTTGGGCCACGCAATTCAACCTGAGCCGATTCTTCCCTCTTTTGTCCGTCGGACTGTTCGAAGCCGAAAGTGTATCCATCAATTCCGATGTTGTTCGAGGGGGTTTCCTTCAGGAGGTACACATCGGGCTGCACGCGTTGTTGTTGCTGGGCGAACTGAGGGGCTGCCATTGCTACGGCCACGAGGGCGGCGAATACTGCGATCTGTAGTTGATGTTCAATTAATTCATTAATTTTTTTACGTAAAACATCTAATAATATGTAAAATTTATTATTATCACCATTTATATAAGTTATGATAATCGTTTCAAGCAATTGCTAAATATTATTGGACTGATACATCGGATGTATTTAAATGTTAAAACATTCGTACTTATTAATAACATAACTGAATTCTTATTGGAGCTAAGTCTGCTGAGAAATATTTATAATCAACTCAAACTTTTAACTTCTACTTGATTTTTCAAAACATCAAGTGCTGCAACTTATGATAAATTAATTCATCACGTATGTAACAAGACAAGTGTTCAATTTGTAATATTTGTTTTGGTTGTTTAAATACTATTTTAAATTATATCTTGTGAATATTATAAAATGTGATGGCAATTAATATATTTAAGAAAAAATAGTATTAGTATCTACAGTTAGTGAAATATTGTTTTTCAAAAAATTATACGAGACAGCGATGGTGTTCAAGTACTTTTTGTAAAATTAATTTTTTAACGAAATCTTAGTACAAATTAATTTCATATTAATCAGTTGCACTTTTATGGAAAAAATATGATTATTCAATCAATTTTTAAAATTATTAGTTCACTCTGCAAAATTTTTATCATTACACTGTATTTACTGTACAACGAAATATTATAGAACAGTACACTACATTTGCGTTATAATTATTGGTATACACGTGCTACAAAAAAATAAAAAAAATAAAAAAATAAAAAAACTACTGACAGCCCAGCCGAGTCTGAGATTCTCGCGTTTCAGAAATCGCGAGCACCATTTATAGTTACGTACCGTCTTCATGTTTAAGAGCGAAAAACAGAGTCCGAAATGGATGCTGGATCAACAAAAACTGTGTACACAAGTGTAGATCCGGACGATTTTATAGGCGCGCGCGAGCAGCGACGACCGGATCCTCCCTGCCTCCCGAAAAAAAATCCTTCTTTTTTCCTCCTCCATCTCCTTGTCCTTCTTGCCATTCACCTTCGCTTTTCAGCTCATCTTTGACATCCCATGGCGCCTTATGGGTCGATGCTATTATAAGATCGAAAATTTTTACTGACCTTCGCGGCTGGTGTGCGCGTGTCGTGTGTGTACGTACGAATATGTCTGTGCACGCGTGTGAGAAGCTACCGATTGGTGGTTGCACCATAACAAGATTTTACATATCATGTACGAGCGCACTTATTTACCTGATTATCAAAGGAAACCAGTTGTATTTTTGTTCGTCAACGTTTTTTTTTTAAATTGCTTTTCTTTGGTCCAAAAAATTTGAATGATATATTTTAATGTGACGTTCATTGGATATCAAACTATTTCCTTGGTAATTGACTCTCGTTACGTTCAGTTAGTTATTCCAAATTATTATCATTAAGTGCAGTTTTTTCAAAACAATTTTATGTTTTAAAACTGTTAGTTAAAAAAAAAAAAAACGTATTTCTTGAAATATGTCTTCGATGTGGAGGGTTTGAGTAAACTAAAAATTAAATGTTTATGAATTCTAATAA